CGGGAGTCAATGGGTTAATCTGCTCCTCTTTTGTTTTTACGGCTAGGGGCATTGTTTGTGTTGAATACCTATTGTTTCGTTTGGCGAATCATGAAGACCCTTGTAAAACGGTGCGTGGTCACCCCAAGTATGCCGTTATTTTTCACTTAATTATCCTGGACACCAAAACCCCCAATAGGGCTTTGTGATTGTTATGCATGTACTCCTTGGTATCTGACTACTAAAAAGTCACACTCTGTTTCAAACACTCGTCTAATTAAAGAAAAGATAGGTGACCTTGAATTATTGGAGAAGGGGCACTGCAGTTATCAACGGTTTGGCGTTCAAACGAGGCGAAAGGGATAATTCTGTGTGTTGCTGGGTTTCCTGTATTGTTCATATATTTTTCCCGCCGTTTATTTCCTGCGTTTAGGTCACGTGACCTTTACGAGTGTCCATGTAATGGCGAGCGTCGGCAGTTGTGTGTATGGGATTCACTCGAAGTAACGACGGATAAGACGAATAAGACGGATAAAGACGCGGACAATTGATGGTGTTATGTACAAGCAAACAGGAGCGTCTCATTGGAGTGTTAGTCGAATTAAAGTTAGTGAACTAGAGTGAATCTTGCCTATTGAAACCGAGGGAATTGGAAATTGGCCCTTACACTGCATTGTACGGACCCTTTGACCTCGTTCGCATGCCTTTATTTGACCGCAGAATGAATCAACTGTAATCACAATACGTATACGTGGTTGTACCTAGGGGAGCACAGTTTTTCGTTTATTTCCCCTGGGAAGTGAATTGTAAACAGATCACTCCTGAAAGTTCCTCAAATTGTATTTTTTTTTTTCTTCCTTTTATTTCCTCCTAAAAGTATAAATGACATAGATGCTGTCTTCATGATATCACAGAGAGGATAAACTTCCCGGTTGGGGGCGAGGGGGAGGGCTACCCCATCTAATCATGGACTGTACGGGGAGGCTTCAGCTATATAAAGGGGTAGGGAATTCACAAGTCGAAGTATATGAAATGGTAGGGAAATCTGTCACCTTCACTCCTGCCACAACCTGAGCTGAATGAAGTATACTTTTTGGTTAACATCCCTTCTGGACATGCTTGATGTTCTTCCGTAGTATTGTTCATTAACTTGAACGATATACGAAAGGCGAAGGGTATCTTTCCCGCCAAAATGGTATACAATAGGGTAAGGGGGTGGACCTCGCTCGGGGTGGAGCCTCCCCGTATAAAACCTTGTAAAGCCCTCNCACGTTTTTGGGCTACAGAGAAGTTTGTGGTCGTTTCTCCAGCCACGCCTGAAGCTTGGGTTCATCCCTGACCTTCTTGTACAATGCGGTGAGACGCGGGAGACCTTTCAAAACATCTGGTACCTCAGGCTTGCCTTTTGCTATGTAGCTGTTGAAGAACGCGAAGAAGCAGATGTCTGCAAAGCTCAGCTGTCAGGAGGAAAAGAAAAACAAATGGTCACAGTTTCAAAAACTTAAACCTTAGTGCTGCGTTTAGAAGGTTTCAGGGTGACAGGTCTCGCTGTTTATGGAAGAGCAACGCGAATAGCATAAGTTCTTTGTGTGTTTATATTAGTTTTACATAGTAATAGTACTATCGCAATAAGATAAACAAATCTATTTTTTTACTGCGCCTAAATTTAAGTTCACTCATTCGCTCGTTCGCTCGCTACAATGAAGGATTTATACTACGAGTGATCGCATGATACTTGGAAATTCTCTCGAAATTTGAAAGGAATTTAAAGAATTATCAGAAAATTGCGAACGCGAACATTAATTTGCACTGCAGAGCAACTTGAAAATTTACGACAAATTGGCCTGCTCTGAGCCAAGTGCAGTGAAATAATTTTCTACATCATATAATAATATCCTAAAATAACTTACCTTATTTCCAACACAGTAAACTTCATCCTTAGGATTTTTTTCCAAGAATTTTTCCAGATATTTGCATGCCTTGGGTAATGATTCCTTTTCAAACTTTTCCATAAGAGCTTTCTAAAGAGTAAAAAGAAAAGGTAAATGGCAAATAAAAACATTCGTTTATAGGCCATTGCGGAGTTACCTTGTGCCTCTATCTGTTTTAAAACGAGTCCTCGGGCAAAACGTTTCATATGAAAATGAGTTTGATTTGCATGAACATGAACCTGTAGAGGGAACAAATTTTCATATGAATGGTTTTGCAGGAAGACTTGTTTTCACACAGAGGCAAAAGGCAACACGGGAATGGCCTATTGTAAACATGGCTGTTAAGACCGAACAATTCTTGTTATAATTTTATTTTAATATGTAAGTTCTATTCTAACGTGGTTTTATTCTTTATGTTTTCTTCTGGAGAGAGCAACATGCTGTTTACGAATGAAACGTTTCTAATATTAAAATACGTTACTTCTTGATATATTTAGTAAATAACAGATAGTCTTTTAGAACTTTTAAAAACTAATCAGTCAGTCGGTCGGCCGGTCGGTCGGTCGGTTGATCGGTCGTTCGGTCGATCGGTCCTTCGGTCGGTCGGTCGGTTAGTCAGTTAGTCAGTCAATCAGTGAGTGAGTGAGTGAGTCAGTCAGTCAGTCAGTTAATCAGTTAGTTAGTCAGTCAGTTCGTCCGTTCGTCAGTCAGTCAGTCAGTCAGTCAGTCAGACAGTCAGTCAGTCAGTCAGTCAGTCAGTCAGACAGTCAGTCAGTCAGTCAGTCAGTCAGTCAGTCAGTCAGTCAGTATCCTGTAGTTACCGTCTACCTGTTCCTCTGGGTTGGTGCAAACTACGGCCCGAACAATCTCGTTTTCTAAGTCATACACTCCTTCAGAAAACATGTCTGCAAGTGCCTGCTGTAAATCTGTACTAGGCATCAAACCTATTGAAAACAACCGAAAAAAAAAACAAACAAACAAAAGATAAAAACAAATGCAGCACCATTAATTATACAGCTATTGTCTATCACCTGACAGAGGTGGTCCAAGAGATTCTTTGATTTTTCTATACGCTCTAAATAGGACACCCTCCTAACCCCCATTCCTCGCCTGGTCCGCTCTCTAAGACTCTGAGGATCATACCGAAAGATTCTTTATAAAATAACTGAGATACTACACGCGCTCTGATTGGTCGTTAATTTACACGTGACGTTTCAGATGCGCGCGTATTCTTGAAAAATATTTTATAAAAGCAATAGAGTACTTCATCCGTATTTACCTTTATAGCCTCATCTAAACACTTTGGGGTTTGGGAGAATTATCGAAAGTTATGCAAACCATCGACCGCATCTCAGGTTTGCAAAACTTTGTCAAATTCTCCTAAATCTTCAGAACTCTCGGAAAAGTGTTCTATTAAAAAATGACTAACTTCTATTACCTCTTAGGATGCAAAGCATTGTGATACATACCATGTCGTTTAGCCACAAAACGGAGAATGGTCATGGACTGAGAAAGCGTTACACCCTCGACTTCAAGAAGAGGAATCTGACCAAAAGGACATTTCCCACCTGGAAAGAAAACGATTACAACAAATCCATGAGCGGGAACTATAAAACACAACTTCAGTTATAAATGGTTGTGATTATATCCTATATAACTATTATAGGGTTGCACTAGAATAAGTAATAATAAAAAACCTGTCATGCCTGTTTTTCATAGTGTCATAGCTTGAGCCACACCTAGATTGTTCTCCTTTAGGGGTCTAATTCAAATTTCCGACGGGCGTCCCCGACCTTTTCATATAGGAGGGTCCCCGAGGAAAGGGGGGGAGGGGGAGCATTACGTCTCATTACCACCGATATAACAATATTCTAACATGGCTCCGAGGCTTTCAGGACAAACTTCTATATTTGGGTTTTTTCTTTGTATCCAAGTCTCTTTTGGGAATTGAAGGACAAAAGAAACTTACAAAATTTGCAATTTTGACCCGAAAGCCTTGGAGCCATGTTAGAATTTTGATATGTCGAACGTGGCCTATTGAAACTTCAATTCTTATCATATTTTATATGAAAGATCTATTTCATTGCAATGCATCCACGTGGAAACAATGGCATGCTGTTGACAGTTTAATTACGCGGGGGCTGAATGGCGGCTTCAATCTTTTGTCAACAGGCTCTCCCTTTTTCTTCCTTCACACTTCATGTTCCTTTCGGCGTCGGAGCTATGTTAGAATTTTTGATATATCGAACGTGGCCTATTGAAACTTAAATTCTTATCATATTTTATATGAAAGATATATTTCATTGCAATGCATCCTCGTGGAGACAATGGCATGCTGTTGCCGGGGGAACAGGTTAATTACAGGGGGGCTGAATGGCGGCTTCGGTCCTTTTTCAACAGGCTCTTCCTTCTTCTCCCTTCACACTTCGTGTTCCGTTTTCGCTTCTTTTCCTTCCAGCTTTTTCTTTGTCCCATCCTTAGCCTGCAAATAAGCTCCCGGCGAGGAGGGAAACTCAGCCTGTTCGCAAACTACCCCATCCACGAGAAGAGAGTCTGTTCACTGGCTAAGTTTTAAACTACTTGAAAATATACATTTGAATTAGAATCCTATCGTTCTTTAAACAGTTACGATTATTTAGTATTTTAAACACACAAGGTGCTGGTTTTATAATTTGACACTGCCTCGAGGGGAGTATTTCCATACCATTAAGAATTTGAATTGATAACATGTATCTGTGCCCCTCCCTCCTTCCCCCGTGTTCTTATAATGTCATGGTGACTCTAAACAAGCAAGAAAACAAACAAACAAACAAACAAACAAAAAACCACAGTAAAGAATGTGGCTGATCCTGGTTATTACTTGAATGTCATGCCTGGATGAATTGCACACTTTATTTTTATCTGTTTAGAAACTGTTTATCGGGAATGCTGCATAAGTTAATGTCGGTGACCACATGAAATATTTACAGGGCGACTAATCATTTGCGCGGCTGGGCAAGAATTTAAAGAATTCAAAATTGGGTTGATATCGTTAGCTCAGTCAGAGCTTTATCAACATCGATCTCTCACGGAAGACTTTCATATCAAATATTCTCCGATTCCTGATTGTTTGACCGAGTCCCAGAGACTGGGTATCGAAATTGTAACTAAGACCACGTTAGACTGTGACTTAGAAACATGACTCACGTAGCGTTGCTTGTTCAAATGATTACTACTTACTATTTTTAACAGGTTAGAGATGACTTTCATAAAATATTCTGCAATTCTTGATTGTCTGACTGGGCCCTATAGGGACTAGGTGTCAAACATTGTAATTGAGAAGACGCAAGTTTAGCGCCTAAATGACTCAGCACGCAGCGTTGCCTGCTCAAATGAATACTAACACTTACTATTTTTTAAAGGTAGCCAGTCTGCTTGGTTGTCAAAGCTAATTCGGATGTCTTCGTAGTCTACTCCAGCGTAGGCAAACACAAGTCGTGTTGGTTCAGCTCGAGCCCTTAAATTGAAGTAAGTCAACTTGTATGTGGTCGCCATGATAGCTGTGGACGTATGCAAGAATTCTTTGAGCGTCAAGAAGCGTGGACGTATCTCATTTATTTACGTTCACTCGTCCGTATTAAATAAACAGTCAATATCGTAAATGTTACGTATAGCGTAATGAGGTTATTATAACAGAATGTCACTACTGAGCATCTTCCTTTCTTTCAAGCCAGGACCCGTAGCCAATCAGCAAAAGGAGAGAGACTATTGTTAATCGTACCTTTATTAATGTAGTGTCTTTGTTGTATTGAAAACGCTGTTTTTCATTAAAACAGCTATGAGGTACGGGAAGCTACGTGTGT